AGCACCTGAATCACATGATTGGGAGGGGATGGAGCACCTGAATCACATGATTGGGAGGGGATGGAACACCTGAATCACATGATATGGAGGGGATTGGAACACCTGAATCACATGATGTGGAGGGGATTGGAGCACCTGAATCACATGATATGGAGGGGGTTGGAACACCTGAATCACATGATTGGGAGGGGGATTGGAACACCTGAATCACATGATATAGAGGGGATTGGAACACCTGAATCACATGATTGGGAGGGGATTGGAGCACCTGAATCACATGATATGGAGGGGGTTGGAACACCTGAATCACATGATTGGGAGGGGATTGGAACACCTGAATCACATGATATAGAGGGGATTGGAACACCTGAATCACATGATTGGGAGGGGATTGGAGCACCTGAATCACATGATATGGAGGGGGTTGGAACACCTGAATCACATGATTGGGAGGGGATTGGAACACCTGAATCACATGCCCCCCCCCCCGCAGTACAGACTCCCCCTCTCAGCCTTCCCCCAGTACCAGATGTAATTCTCGGTATCTGTCCCCATTCTGTATGTATGGACTCTGCACAGTCCCACTTCTCCGGTCCCGGATGAAATCGAGGTCCCTATCACACCGATCCGCGGCTCTGAAATCACGCTGAAGGAGTGCAATGTCAAAGTGCCACTAAAACTGCCCGATTCCATGTGATTTCAGAGCCGCAGATCGGTGCGATTTCATTGCGGCTTCATGTAACACAAGTCCATGCAGGTCGCAGGGAGACCACAAATGGGCTGCGACTTGTCCTGCGATTCTAAGCTGCGGTGAATACAAAGCATGCGGCGGGTGAGAACTCCAGAGGAAGGATTTGTATTCCGTCATAAACTGGTTGTCGCTGAATCTACTGAAACGTTTTTACAGTCGAAGTCGAAGATTTCCTCCCAATCAGAGGAGTGGAAAAAAAAATGTTTCCAAATGACTTTATTCATCGCTTTTGTCTCCGGTCATGTGATCACCTTGCTTTGAGGGGCCAATGCGATTGGTGGGACCCCCGAGCTGTAATGCCGGCCATACATGGTTTTCATTCCGAACGATTTTTTTATCTGAAAATCGGAAACGTCATTCGCTCGGTAATCTGATGGCGCCATCAATGATCTAGAAAATCGTCCAACCGAGTCAAAGTTCCCCCCATGTAACAGGCGAGACTTCTGCTCCTTCCAGGTCACACTCAGGCGCAGATTCTTTCCGGAAAAAAAAAACGTTCGTACGAAAATTTGTTGAAAATCGGTCGTTTTTCACACATTTTCCAACATCACCGATTACCGAAAAGGGGAGGAGCCACGAAAATCAGCCGGTGCCATTGACTCCACTGACAGCGAAAATCGGCCGATTATTCTTAGGTGTGATTTTCAGACAACAAATCTGTCAAATTCTGAGCCGTGAATGGCCGGCCTTAATGACAGGAGCAGCCCCTCTAAACCACCACCCATCAGATGCCCCACATACCTAGGTGACCTGGGGGGGCAGGTGTTTGGCTCCTCCCATCATCGCAGTTCAGGGCCAACCTGGACCCGCCCATTGCTCAGGAAGTCAGCCATAGGCGCGGCCTTTCCTTGGAGCTTGCACACAGAGTGGCCGTACCAACGGGTATTGATCAATGTTACAGATGTATTGTAGACTGGTGACCAGCCTGGGTTTGCTCCAAATCCTGAAGTGAGCCGCCATTGCTGGACCCATGAGCCCCCGGGGAACAGTCCACACCCCAAGGATGAACATGTACCAGAACGGGGTGGGATGCTCTTCTCCTCATTGGCCCAATATAGTCACAGTGACCTGAAGCAGAACTCAACCCTCCAATCCTAGCCTTGGGCTAATCTGCATTTGTCATGGTGCTGCACATGTGAACAGTTATGACACCAGCCATTGGATGGCTCCAGCTTGACAGCACAAGCAACTGTGAGTTATTCATGACATTCCTTCCATGCAAACGTTTGGGAAACCATTACAATGGCGGCTCTGGTTCTGCTTTAACATGGCCGTGTGCCTATATATCGGGTCAATGAGATCAGAAGCATCCCTGATCATCTGCGTATGCGTCAGCTGTTGGCCACGAAATCCCATTCGCAGCTCATTGGCCCAACAATGACAGCCAACTTCTGGATTTGGACCTTGACTGAACCACCAAGCTCTCCAATAGTGAACGGGGATTTGGGGGGGTTCATGGAGACCTTTAGACATATTACACCTGTGCCAGGGTCATGTTTATCCACATGAGGGCGCTGCAAGCATTTCTGTGCAGGATGTCCCATTTGTGTCAACTGGGGCGCTGCGGCTGCATGGACCGATGCGGCTCCTAGCGCGACATCTGTGGCGGTGAATGGCCCCCCATGCAGAGTCTGACATCAGCCTTGAATGCAAATTGGGAGCAGCGGCTTCACCCCAACTGACATGAATGGGATGCAAGAGACACCTGTGCAGGTAAACAGGGAACTCGTAATGGGGTACAGCCATGGGGGGGGGGTACACGTGTGTATGGGCACGCCTGTGGAGGGGGTACACGTGTGTATGGGCACGCCTGTGGAGGGGGTACACGTGTGTATGGGCACGCCTGTGGAGGGGGTTACACGTGTGTATGGGCACGCCTGTGGAGGGGGTACACGTGTGTATGGGCACGCCTGTGGAGGGGGTACACGTGTGTATGGGCACGCCTGTGGAGGGGGTACACGTGTGTATGTTATGGCACGCCTGTGGAGGGGGTACACGTGTGTATGGGCACGCCTGTGGAGGGGGTTACGGCCATGGAGGGGGTACATGTGTATGAACACGCCTGTAAGGGGGTTATGGCCAGTGGTGTATTTAGGTTTTGTGCTACCCTAGGCAACAGAAAAAATCGCCCCCCCCCCCCCCCCCCCCTGCAGAGAGGGCCTGACATAAAACAAACACCCCTGACTGCCACCCAAGAGAGCCTCCCACTACCACTGCCCCCCCATACAGCAGCCACCATGGTGAGACACCTTCACAGCTCCGGACATCCCCGGGAACAAGCGTCGGGCTCTGCATCCACCGTCATGAAACCCAGAACCCATTAGGTCCCCATGCCATGTGTGTCCCTTCTACCGAAAGGCTCGGTGCTGCCCCCCTGGAAAATGCCGCCCTAGGCAAATGCCTTGTGGTAAATACACCCCCGGTTACATGGCCGTGGAGGGGGTGCACATGTATGGGCACACCTGGGTAGAGGGTCACTGGCCATGTATGGAGGGGGTTACAGCAGTGGAGGAGGCTATGGCCACAGAGGGGGTACACGTGTATGGACATGCCGTGTAAAGGGGGGGATATGCCTGTGTGGGGGGGGGGGGGTGTAAGGCCGTGTGGGGATGTTACACCCGTCGGGGGGGGGAGATATGGCCATGTAGGGGGGAAGGGCATGGCCATGTAGGAAAGGGGGGGCGGTATGGCTGTGTAGGGGGGAGGGTACGGCCATGTAGGAAGGGGGGGGGGGGCGGCATGGCCGTGTAGGGGGGGAGGGTACGGCCGTGTAGGGGGAGGCTATGCCCATGTAGGGGGGGATTACGCCCATGTAGGGGGGGGGGGGGGGGGGGGGGGGATGGCTGTGTAGGGGGAGGCTATGCCCGTGTAGGGGGGGATTACGCCCACGTAGGGGGGGGGGGATGGCTGTGTGTGTGTGTGTGTGTGGGGGGGGGGGGGGTTATGCCCATGTAGGGGGGGTTACGCACATGTGGGGGGGGGGTGTACGCACATGTGGGGGGGGTATGGGTGTGTGTGGGGGCATTATGCATATGTAGGGGGGGGGGGGTACGCCCATGTGTGTGTGGGGTATGGCTGTGTGTGTGTGTGGGGGGGGGTGTTACGCACATGTAGGGGGGGTACACCATGTAGAGGGGTGTGTATGCCCATGTAGCCGGGGGGGGGGGGGAGGGGGGGGGGGGGGGGTGTACGCCCATGTAGGGGGGTGTGTATGCCCATGTAGCCGGGGGGAGGGGGGTACGCCCATGTAGGGGGGGGTGTACGCCCATGTAGCTGGGGGGGGGGGGGGGGATTACGCCCATGTAGCTGGGGGGGGGGGCAGGGGGGGGATTACGCCCATTGTAGGGGGGGGTGTGGCCCATGTAGCTGGGGGGGGATTACGCCCATGTAGCTGGGGGGGGTTACGCCCATGTAGCGGGGGGGGGGGGGGGGGGGATTACGCCCATGTAGTCGGGGGGGTGGGTACGCCCATGTAGCCGGGGGGGTGGGGGGGGGGGTACGCCCATGTAGCTGGGGGGGGGGGAGGGGGGGGGGGGGGATTACGCCCATGCAGACAAACCATTCCGCAGAATAATACAACAGACGTTTGGCAAACTGATGCAAAATATTTATTTCCGAGTTGTTCGCGGCTGGGCCGTCATCGCCGCACATACAGGAAACCAGGTTTTTGTTTTTTTTCTTTAATCTGTAAATAATGTTATCAAAATAATCTTCTGGAATCTTCCGTCATTTCCCACAAATCTCCTTTATTGTACAATCCACCCTGAATGTCAAGGCTTAGAGAAGAGAAAGCGATTCGTCTGAATATCTTACAGATGTGAATGACCCCCGAAGCTCGATTCGCCCCAAAGATCCCGCCAGAACCAGCGCTGCGTCTGCGATTGGGGAGACCGCGATTAAATGGCTCCCTGTGATTGGCTGATTTAGTGGGTTAAGTCTGATTTGAATCGGTTAGAAGCTTCGCCATCCGCAGTGATGTGTCCGCTGGACTCCAATACAAACGAGGAAAAAAAACAATAAAAAATTCAAACAAAAAAAACGAGGAAAAAAAAAAAACAAACTGTCCCTGGAGTCTCCGGAACCCTCAGAAATCAGGATTGTGCTCCTAGGAAGAGATTGGACAGAACGCACCGCCTCCCTCCTACCGACAATGGCGGGTAGAACAGATCTGGGGGGGAGGGGCATGTCAGCGAGGAGGGGGGCGTCTCCCAGAACCAGGATGTAAAGCGGGAAACGAGGTGGTTCTGGATCAAGATTCGTCGTCTGAAGTGTCGGAGCTGCTGGAGTCGGTGTCGGAGCTCGGGTCGGGGGTCAGAGGGCTGCGCCATGCAAACTGGGCGCACCTTCGGGGTTGTCGGAGGACGCCGTTCTCTCCCACGCCGGGTCTTTTCAGCTGAAGGAAAAAATACATAAAATGAGTGTCTACAGGAACCGATCTACAATGCCCCTCCTTCCTTCCTGTAGGCTGGTCACATGACAGCGCCAGCACGATGCGATACCCCTCCAGCCTGCTACCTCACCCTACAGAAGGCCAAACACCACCAGGGGCCATCAGGAGCCACATCAGTCTGAAGAAGAGAAGCTGGAGGCCCTCCATCAAATTGAATCGGCAACTTTATTTATCTGGACAAACATGGACATCCCCTTCTGAGTCCCGAGGACTCCGAGGCAGCGACTTCCTGTTTGCCCGGATGAATAAAGTTGCCAGCAACTGAATTTGAAGAATGTTTCATCTTCTCTTGGACTGCTTTCTCATTGGCTGGAGGTGGAACACAGACTACATCCATCGTTCTCAAGGCGGGTCACCATCCTTCAGCCGGCCCCTCCCCCGCTATACCGAACCATCAAAAATTGTAAAAAATAACAAAAAAAAAAAAAAAAGAACACGACTGACGCCGACCGCGGCCCCTGACTGACGCCGACCGCGGCCCCTGACTGACGCCGACCGCGGCCCCTGACTGACGCCGACCGCGGCCCCTGACTGACGCCGACCGCGGCCCCTGACTGACGCCGACCGCGGGCCCCTGACTGACGCCGACCGCGGCCCCTGACTGACGCCGACCGCGGCCCCTGACTGACGCCGACCGCGGCCCCTGACTGACGCTGACCGCGGCCCCTGACTGACGCCGACCGCGGCCCCTGACTGACGCCGACCGCGGCCCCTGACTGACGCCGACCGCGGCCCCTGACTGACGCCGACCGCGGCCCCCGACTGACGCCGACCGCGGCCCCCTGACTGACGCCGACCGCGGCCCCCGACTGACGCCGACCGCGGCCCCTGACTGACGCCGACCGCGGCCCCCGACTGACGCGCCGACCGCGGCCCCCGACTGACGCCGACCGCGGCCCCCGACTGATACCGCGGCCCACACCGGAGCTCAGTGCACAGTTTATACTTTTACAGGAATTTTATTAATTTTTCCTATTTATATCATCAAGCCTTAGAAGTGCAGAAAACAAAAATGTCATGAAACCCGCCAAGTGACCCTGACCTTTCAGGTTGCCATCCCCCCCCGCCCACATTTCAGGCGTTAGACAGCCATGACCTGCCAGAGAACGCTGAGGACCTCAGAGAAGCCCCAACTCCTATATCATCCCCTTCAGATCACCCCAACTCGGAACCCCTCAGATGCACCCCACAGGGCACCCCCCCGGCACCCCCTCCCCCCCACAGGGGCCACCCCCCTCCCCCACAGGGGCCCCCCAGAATCTCCCCCAACTCCTGCAGGCCCTAGACAGATGACCTGCCAGAGAACAAGTGCCTGAGGACCTCAGATCACCCCAACTCCTGCACCCCCTCAGATCACCCCAACTCCTGCACCCCCTCAGATCACCCCAACTCCTGCACCCCCTCAGATCACCCCAACTCCTGCACCCCCCTCAGATCACCCCAACTCCGGCACCCCCTCAGATCACCCCAACTCCTGCACCCCCTCAGATCACCCCAACTCCGGCACCCCCTCAGATCACCCCAACTCCTGCACCCCCTCAGATCACCCCAACTCCTGCACCCCCTCAGATCACCCCAACTCCGGCACCCCCTCAGATCACCCCAACTCCTGCACCCCCTCAGATCACCCCAACTCCGGCACCCCCTCAGATCTCCCCAACTCCTGCACCCCCTCAGATCACCCCAACTCCGGCACCCCCTCAGATCACCCCAACTCCTGCACCTTCATCCCTCAAGTCTCCCCAACTCCTGCACCCCCTCAGTCACCCCAACTCCTGCACCCCCTCAGATCACCCCAACTCCTGCACCCCCCTCAGATCACCCCAACTCCGGCACCCCCTCAGATCTCCCCCAACTCCTGCACCCCTCTGATCACCCCAACTCCTGCACCTTCATCCCTCAAGTCTCCCCAACTCCTGCATCCTCACCCCTCTGGTCACCCCAACTCCGGCACCCTCACCCATCTGTTCACCCCAACTCTAGCACCCCCTCAAATCACCCCAACTCCCGGCACCCTCACCCATCTGTTCACCCCAACTCCAGCACCCCCTCAAATCACCCCAACTCCTGCACCTTCATCCCTCAAGTCTCCCCAACTCCTACACCCCCTCAAATCACCCAAATTTCTGCACCCACACCCCTCTGATCACCCCAACTCCTGCCCCCCATCAGGTCTCCCCAATTCCTGCCCCCCATCAGGTCTCCCCAATTCCTGCACCTTCACCCCATCAGGTCTCCCCAATTCCTGCACCTTCACCCCATCAGGTCTCCCCAATTCCTGCACCTTCACCCCATCTGGTCTCCCCAATTCCTGCCCCCCATCAGGTCTCCCCAATTCCTGCCCCCCATCAGGTCTCCCCAATTCCTGCACCTTCACCCCATCAGGTCTCCCCAATTCCTGCACCTTCACCCCATCTGGTCTCCCCAATTCCTGCCCCCCATCAGGTCTCCCCAATTCCTGCCCCCCATCAGGTCTCCCCAATTCCTCACCCCATCAGGTCTCCCCAATTCCTGTCCCTTCACCCCATCAGGTCTCCCCAATTCCTGCCCCTAATCAGTCTCCCCAATTCCTGCCCCCCATCTCCCCAATTCCTGTCTCCCCCCCCATCAGGTCTCCCCAATTCCTGCCCCCCATCAGGTCTCCCCCAATTCCTGATCACCCCCCAACTCCCCCCATCAGGTCTCCCCAATGCCCCCCATCAGGTCTCCCCTGCCCCTTCACCCCCATCAGGTCTCCCCAATTCCTGCACCCATCACTCCTCTGATCATCCCCCAAATTCCTGCCCCCCATCAGGTCTCCCCAATTCCTGCCCCCCATCAGGTCTCCCCAATTCCTGTCCCTTCACCCCATCAGGTCTCCCCAAATCCTCCTGATCACCCCAATTCCCCCCATCAGGTCTCCCCAATTCCTGCCCCCCATCAGGTCTCTCCTGCCCCCCATCAGGTCTCCCCAATTCCTGCCCCCCATCAGGTCTCCCAATTCCTGCCCCCCATCATTCCTGCCCCCCATCAGGTCTCCCCAACTCCTGCCCCCCATCAGGTCTCCTCCCCCCCATCATTCCCCAATTCCTGCCCATCAGGTCTCCCCAATTCCTGTCCCTGCCCCCCATCAGGTCTCCCCAATTCCTGCCCCATCAGGTCTCCCCAATTCCTGCACCCACACCCCCCAGATGTATGACTCAGGCTACTTTCACACGGAGGAATTTCTGAAGTGCTTTTGAGTTGAAAATCTCAGTAAAAATGCGTCCGTGTGAATGCAGGTTGTCACATTGGGGTGTTGCGCTTCCATTGCGGTGTAAACTCCCGCTTGCAGCATCTATGGAGCATCTTTGTTTAGTATAAAAAAAAAAAAAAGAAAATTGCCCCAAAAACGCATTGAAGTCAAAGGAAAAGACCTGAAAAAAAGCCAGAGAAGCGGATTTGGTGCCGTTTTTAGGTCACGTCCTGTAAATGCGCAGAAAGTGCAGGAAAAGCGTCCTTGTGGCAGACGAGTGTGGAAGTGCCTCAGTATACGGTTCCCGACTTCTGTCCGCCAGGAAAGTTCCGGCTGTCTTTAGTCCCTGCACAGAATAGAGTGACGCCGCGTGGTCGGGGACTTCGGAGTCCATACAGGACGCCGCGTGGTCGGGGACTTCGGAGTCCATACAGGACGCCGCGTGGTCGGGGACTTCGGAGTCCATACAGGACGCCGCGTGGTCGGGGACTTCGGAGTCCATACAGGACGCCGCGTGGTCGGGGACTTCGGAGTCCATACAGGACGTCCATCAGTGGTCGGGGACTTCGGAGTCCATACAGGACGCCGCGTGGTCGGGGACTTCGGAGTCCATACAGGACGCCGCGTGGTCGGGGACTTCGGAGTCCATACAGGACGCCGCGTGGTCGGGGACTTCGGAGTCCATACAGGACGCCGCGTGGTCGGGGACTTCGGAGTCCATACAGGACGCCGCGTGGTCGGGGACTTCGGAGTCCATACAGGACGCCGCGTGGTCGGGGACTTCGGAGTCCATACAGGACGCCGCGTGGTCGGGGACTTCGGAGTCCATACAGGACGCCGCGTGGTCGGGGACTTCGGAGTCCATACAGGACGCCGCGTGGTCGGGGACTTCGGAGTCCATACAGACGCCGCGTGGTCGGGGACTTCGGGAGTCCATACAGGACGCGCGTGGTCGGGGACTTCGGAGTCCATACAGGACGCCGCGTGGTCGGGGACTTCGGAGTCCATACAGGACGCCGCGTGGTCGGGGACTTCGGAGTCCATACAGGACGCCGCGTGGTCGGGGACTTCGGAGTCCATACAGGACGCCGCGTGGTCGGGGACTTCGGAGTCCATACAGGACGCCGCGTGGTCGGGGACTTCGGAGTCCATACAGGACGCCGCGTGGTCGGGGACTTCGGAGTCCATATAGGACGCCGCGTGGTCGGGGACTTCGGAGTCCATACAGGACGCCGCGTGGTCGGGGACTTCGGAGTCCATATAGGACACCGCGTGGTCGGGGACTTCGGAGTCCATACAGGACACCGCGTGGTCGGGGACTTCGGAGTCCATATAGGACACCGCGTGGTCGGGGACTTCGGAGTCCATACAGGACGCCGCGTTGGTCGGGGACTTCGGAGTCCATATAGGACGCCGCGTGGTCGGGGACTTCGGAGTCCATACTTAGGAGGACACGGCGTGCTTGGGGACTTCGGAGTCCATATAGGACACCGCGTGGTTTGGGGGGTAGTCCATATAGGACACCGCGTGGTTGGGGACTTCGTAGATATAGGACACCGCGTGGTTGGGGACTTCGGAGTCCATATAGGACACCGCGTGCTTGGGGACTTCGGAGTCCATATAGGACACTTCGCGTGCGTTGGGGACTTCGGAGTCCATATAGGACGCCGCGTGTCTTGGGGACTTCGGAGTCCATATAGGACGCCGCGTGCTTGGGGACTTCGGAGTCCATCCATACACGCCGCGTTGGTCGGGGACAGTCCGCGTGCTGGTGGGGACTTCGGAGTCCATATAGGACACCGCGTGTTGGGGACTTCGGAGTCCATATAGGACACCGCGTGTGGTTGGGGACTTCGTAGTCCATATAGGGACACCGCGTGGTTGGGGACTTCGTAGTCCATATAGGACACCGCGTGCTTGGGGACTTCAGAGTCCATATAGGACCCGGCGCGGTTGGGGACTTCGTAGTCCATATGACCCGGCGTGGTTGGGGACTTCGTAGTCCATATGACCCGGCGTGGTTGGGGACTTCGTAGTCCATATGACCCGGCGTGGTTGGGGACTTCGTAGTCCATATGACACCGCGTGGTCGGGGACTTCGTAGTCCATATAGGACACCGCGTGGTTGGGGACTTCGTAGTCCATATGACCCCCCAACTCACCTGCTGGGATTTTCTCTGGAACTCTTGCAGCTCCTCTTCTGTGAGTGGAAGGCAGTCGTCGTCATTCTCTGGAGACTCCTGCCAGCCCATCTCTTTCAGTAATCTGCGGAGAGACCCCACAGGTTATCGATGGAGGAAGACCACCCACAAATCCCAGGTGACACCGAAGCCGCCTCCTTACCTGTGCTCTGCTTCCAGTGAATAAGACAGCCGGCCGCGTTCCTTTTCCTGAGAGTCGGAAATGCCGTTGAGATGGCGGCCCTCCTCCATGTGCTGCCCATCATTGAGGTCGGAGGGACTCTGACTCTGCACCTAGGACAGGGCACATGACTGATCAGGGGCTGAAATCATACTTAGGTGGTCCTGACACCCCTATAGGTCGCACTCCACCTGTCCTCATGTCCCTGGAGAGGTCATACCCAAGCAGCCATGTTACATATATGGAGGACTTGCCCAAGACTCGCTTCATTTTGGTTCCTCATTCTTGATACTCGACCATCTAACTGCTTCCAAAACACAACGTTCCCCACAACTTGTCCTCTGTCCTCCCCGAATCTACAGCCTCAGCCAAGAACCCTTCTCAGCTTCTCCCTCATAGCCGCTGGGGCAGTCCTACCTAGGCATCAGAGAACTATTACCCCCCCATCACTGAGGGCAAGGATGGAGGACATGACACCCCAAGCTGGAATGGAAAAGCTGATGACCCATCAATGAGATCTCTCATAATTCCCATCATATTTGGCCTCAAAAGACGAACACTTGGCCCATCCAACAGTATTCCTACTATAGTTTGGGGTTAATGGGCCAGCGAGGTCGCCACCGGGGGGGGGGGGGGGGGTTGGTCAGCGAGGTCGCAGCCTACACCATGGGGGGGGGGGGGGGTCAGCGAGGTCGCAGCCTACACCAGGGGGGGGGGCGGGGGGGTCAGCGAGGTCGCAGCCTACACCAGGGGGGGGGGGGGGTCAGCGAGGTCGCAGCCTACACCGGAGGGGGGGGGGGGGGATCAGCAAGGTCGCAGCCTACACCGGGGGGGGGGGGGGGGGGGGGGGATCAGCGAGGTCGCAGCCTACACCGGGGGGGGGGGGGGGGGGGGGGGGGTGTTTTGGGGTTAATGGGTCAGCAAGGTTGCCACCTACACCGGGGGGGTGTGGGGTGGCGAGGGGTCAGCGAGGTCGCAGCCTACACGGGGGGGGGGGGGGGGGGTCAGCGAGGTTGCAGCCTACACCGGCCCGGAAGCCCAGGGCGGAGCCCCAGCAACGTCTGCAGGAAGCCCGGGGCGGAGCCCCAGCAACGTCCAGGCGGAGCCCCAGTAACGTCTAGGGGAAGCCCGAGGCGGAGCCCCAGCAACGTCTGGGGGAAGCCCGGGGGGCGGAGCCCCAGCAACGTCTGGGGGAAGCCCGGGGCGGAGCCCCAGCAACGTCTGGGGGAAGCCCGGGGCGGAGCCCCAGCAACGTCTGGGGGAAGCCCGGGGCGGAGCCCCAGCAACGTCTGGGGGAAGCCCGGGGCGGAGCCCCAGCAACGTCTGGGGGAAGCCCGGGGCGGAGCCCCAGCAACGTCTGGGGGAAGCCCGGGGCGGAGCCCCAGCAACTTCTGCGGGAAGCCCGGGGCGGAGCCCCAGCAACGTCTGGAGGAAGCCCGGGGCGGAGCCCCAGCAACGTCTGGAGGAAGCCCGGGGCGGAGCCCCAGCAACGTCTAGGCGGAGCCCCAGCAACGTCTGGGGGAAGCCCGGGGCGGAGCCCCAGCAACGTCTAGGGGAAGCCCGGGGCGGAGCCCCAGCAACGTCTGGAGGAAGCCCGGGGCGGAGCCCCAGCAACGTCTGGAGGAAGTCCGGGGCGGAGCCCCAGTAACGTCTAGGGGAAGCCCGGGCGGAGCCCCAGTAACGTCTAGGGGAAGCCCGGGCGGAGCCCCAGCAACGTCTAGGGGAAGCCCGGGGCGGAGCCCCAGTAACGTCTGGAGGAAGCCCGGGGCGGAGCCCCCAGCAAACGTCTGCGGGAAGCCCGGGGCGGAGCCCCAGCAACGTCTGGAGGAAGCCCGGGGCGGAGCCCCAGCAACGTCTAGGCGGAGCCCCAGCAACGTCTGGAGGAAGCCCGGGGCGGAGCCCCAGTAACGTCTAGGGGAAGCCCGGGGCGGAGCCCCAGCAACGTCTGGAGGAAGCCCGGGGCGGAGCCCCAGCAACGTCTGGAGGAAAGCCGGGGGCGGAGCCCCAGCAACGTCTGGAGGAAGCCCGGGGCGGAGCCCCAGTAACGTCTGGAGGAAGCCCGGGGCGGAGCCCCAGCAACGTCTAGGGGAAGCCCGGGGCGGAGCCCCAGCAACGTCTGGAGGAAGCCGGGGTTAGTAAGGCTTCCTTGGTCAATACAGAAGCATAGGAGGGAAGCCTGCAGGCCCAGTTGTCCTTCGTTGATCTCCAGCAGAGCCGCCATCTCCCAGCTCCCCGTCCTCCTGATGCCGGAATATTAGGACTTGGAAGACACGGCAACAAGGAAAAGGTTTTCATCTCTTACATCTTCCAGTTTCTCCCCATCTCGGTCCTCGGTCTGGTCAGCGTCTTGTTCGTCCTTCAAGGCCTTCAGAAATTCGCTCTTCTTGTCCGGCACACGGCGGGTCATGCGGGTAAGCCGCGAGATGCTAAGTTCCAGTGGTGGGGTAACACTGGCTGTGCCCTGCAGGAAACACAAGACAACACGTGAGCAATGCAGCATAAACCCCCCCCCCCCCCGGCACGGCTCCCACCTAACCAGGTGAACTCTAATTGGCTGACACCAGCTCTGCGATGGTTCCTGCAGACTATTCCTGCATCTGATGGTCCGTATCGAGGTCACAGGACTGGAGGAAGTATCAATGGGACTGAAGTGAAGTGACCTCACCACACTTGTGCTCCATTGAGAACTAGGAGTCCCTGTGCTGTAGATGGGATTTGTAGTTTTCCGTCTCAGATTCCCGTGAGTGGATGTGTGGGCGGAGCAGATTTCAGGAGGCGGCAGAGAGAACCACCACCAGATTCTGCATGGGGGGGGGGGGTTGTGCAGGCCAACCATGTTTCACGTTACACACTGAATTAGGGCATAAAATGGAAGGTGGACTCGTCCTTTAGCAGACCCCTTGGGTTGGCCGGCACCCCGTAGTCAGATACACCCTTGCACCTTCCCAGGGGGGTACACTTACCTCTTTAGGGGAGGTCAGTGCAGGGGCTGGGGCCAACACCGGGCTGGTGAAAGCAGAATCTCTGTTGAAAAATAAGGAGCCAGCTTTGCATTCCCAGCCATTTGACTTCCAGGGACCCGACTGCAAGAGACACGACACGGCCCACTTACTCCGCCATAAACTGACTTTCAGCATACAACTTCAGGCCATTCAGGGACTATGCCAGCCTGACCTCCCCCATCCAATAGCAATGCTTTCCCCAAAATGCTGCACCCAACCTTCCTATCAGCATGCTGACACAACGGCGCACCTCCACCTAACCTGCTAATACCTCGGCAATGTCCCAACACCCCCGAGATGTTCCCACCATCAGGAGGACTATGGGTTTCATCTACAGCCAAGTGTGCGTTACCTTGGAGGAGGCGGCTGTGGGCTTAGGGACGAGGTTCTTGTAGATGGGCCCGGAGGGGTGACTCTTGTTGTTTCCATTGGAAAGGTGAGGGATGGGAGAAGCAAAAGCAGCAGAGAAAGCAGATGGATCGTCCTTGGAGATCTTCTTGATGACCAGCATCTTCAGTGGCTGCTTGGAGCTGGGAGGGGTTTTCTATGGGAAAACATGAAACGTGTTACAGATCCGTACATAGTGTGAGCAAAGCCCCGCCCCACCAACATGTCACCAGAACCCCGCCCCACCAACACGTCACCAGAACCCTGTTCCACCAAACGTCACCAGAACCCCGTCCCACACGTCACCAGAACCCCGTCACCACGTCACCAGAAACCCCCGTCCCACCAACACGTCACCAGAACCCCGTCCCACCAACACGTCACCAGAACCCCGTCCTACCAACAGACCACCAGAACCCCGCCCCACCAACACGTCACCAGAACCCCGTCCTACCAACACGTCACCAGAACCCCGTCCCTACCAACTGACCACCAGAACCCCGTCCCTACCAACACGTCACCAGAACCCCGTCCTACCAACACGTCACCAGAACCCCCGTCCTACCAACACGTCACCAGAACCCCGTCCTACCAACACGTCACCAGAACCCCGTCCTACCAACACGTCACCAGAACCCCGTCCTACCAACACGTCACCAGAACCCCGTCCTACCAACACGTCACCAGAACCCCATCCTACCAACAGACCACCAGAACCCCGTCCCACCAACACGTCACCAGAACCCCGTCCCACCAACACGTCACCAGAACCCCGTCCTACCAACAGACCACCAGAAACCCCGTCCTACCATCACAGACCACCAGAACCCCGTCCTACCAACAGACACCAGAACCCCGTCCACCAACACGTCAACAGAACCCCGTCCTACCAACAGACCACCAGAACCCCGTCCTACCCAACAGACCACCAGAACCCCGTCCTACCAACACGTCACCAGAACCCCGTCCTACCAACAGACCACCAGAACCCCATCCTACCAACAGACCCACCAGAACCCCGTCCTACCAACAGACCACCAGAACCCCGTCCTACCAACAGACCACCAGAACCCCGTCCTACCAACAGACCACCAGAACCCCGTCCTACCAACACGTCACCAGAACCCCGTCCTACCAACACGTCACCAGAACCCCGTCCTACCAACACGTCACCAGAACCCCGTCCCACCAACAGACCACCAGAACCCCGTCCTACCAACTGACCACCAGAACCCCGTCCTACTACCAACTGACCACCAGAACCCCGTCCTACCAACAGACCACCAGAACCCCGTCCTACCAACAGACCACCAGAACCCCGTCCTACCAACTGACCACCAGAACCCCGTCCTACCAACTGACCACCAGAACCCCGTCCTACCAACAGACCACCAGAACCCCGTCCTACCAACTGACCACCAGAACCCCGTCCTACCAACAGACCACCAGAACCCCGTCCTACCAACAGACCACCAGAACCAGAACCCCGTCCTACCAACTGACCACCAGAACCCCGTCCTACCAACTGACCACCAGAACCCCGTCCACCAACTGACCACCAGAACCCCGTCCTACCAACTGACCACCAGAACCCCGTCCTACCAACTGACCACCAGAACCCCGTCCTACCAACTGACCACCAGAACCCCGTCCTACCAACTGACCACCAGAACCCCGTCCTACCAACAGACCACCAGAACCCCGTCCTACCAACTGACCACCAGAACCCCGTCCTACCAACTGACCACCAGAACCCCGTCCTACCAACAGACCACCAGAACCCCGTCCTACCACCAAGAACCCCCGTCCTCACCAGAACCCCGTCCTACCAACTGACCACCAGAACCCCGTCCTACCAACTGACCACCAGAACCCCGTCCTACCAACTGACCACCAGAACCCCGTCCTACCAAACTGACCACAGAACCCCGTCCTACCAACACGTCACCAGAACCCCGTCCTACCAACAGACTACCAGAACCCCGTCCTACCAACCACGTCACCAGAACCCCGTCCCACCAACACGTCACCAGAACCCCGTCCCACCAACACGTCACCAGAACCCCGTCCCACCAACACGTCACCAGAACCCCGTCCCACCAACACATCACCAGAACCCCGTCCTACCAACTGACCACCAGAACCCCGTCCACCAACACGTCACCAGAACCCCGTCCCACCAACACGTCACCAGAACCCCGTCCTACCAACAGACCACCAGAACCCCGTCCTACCAACAGACCACCAGAACCCCGTCCTACCAACAGACCACCAGAACCCCGTCCTACCAACAGACCACCAGAACCCCGTCCTACCAACACAATCACCAGAACCCCGTCCCACCAACAGATCACCAGAACCCCGTCCCACCAACAGATCACCAGAACCCCGTCCCACCAACACATCACCAGAACCCCGTCCCACCAACACATCACCAGAACCCCGTCCCACCAACACATCACCAGAACCCCGTCCCACCAACACATCACCAGAACCCCGTCCCACCAACACATCACCAGAACCCCGTCCCACCAACACATCACCAGAACCCCGTCCTACCAACACATCACCAGAACCTGAACAGTTATAGGGAGGGGTCCCAATATCATGAGGACAACCAATGGGAGTATGGATGCTCCAGCCATGAGGACAACCAATGGGAGTATGGATGCTCCAGCCATGAGGACAACAATGGGAGTATGGATGCTCCAGCCATGAGGACAACCAATGGGAGTATGGATGCTCCAGCCATGAGGACAACCAATGGGAGTATGGATGCTCCAGCCATGAGGACAACCAATGGGAGTATGGATGCTCCAGCCATGAGGACAACCAATGGGAGTATGGATGCTCCAGCCATGAGGACAACCAATGGGAGTATGGATGCTCCAGCCATGAGGACAACCAATGGGAGTATGGATGCTCCAGCCATGAGGACAACCAATGGGAGTATGGATGCTCCAGCCATGAGGACACAGCTGATCCAACATGCTGGAAAACCAGGAAGAGCCGATATCAGTTCAGATCTTTATCTCCACAGATGTGCTCCAAGCACCTGGATGGCTGATCAGCGGTTCAATCATCTACATATAGTCCACAATTTAGAAATATTCCCTTGGAAACGAGCTACATATGACATACCCCAGACTCCGGTTGGGGTTCCGGTCTGCTTGTTCTGGGTCACCTGCTTCCCAGGCTCAGGATTTAAAGATGGCTGCAAGAAAAAAATATGGGAGAGTGAAAAATCAGGTACATGGAGGGGAAATGAGAGCAAAGGAGGTGGGGAGTCAGACACACAACACACAGTAGTCCAAGGCCCGCGTCACGCCCGGACGCCCGGTCCTCCAAGGCCCGCGTCACGCCCGGTCCTCCAAGGCCCGCGTCACGCCCGGTCCTCCAAGGCCCGCGTCACGCCCGGACGCCCGGTCCTCCAAGGCCCGCGTCACGCCCCGGTCCTCCAAGGCCCGCGTCACGCCCGGTCCTCCAAGGCCCGTCACGCCCACGCCTGGTCCTCCAAGGCCCGTGTCACGTCCACGCCCGGTCCTCCAAGGCCCGCGTCACGCCAGGTCCTCTAAGGCCCGCGTCACGCCAGGTCGCCTGGCCCGTCTCAAGGCCAGCGTCTCTCCAAGGCCCGTGTCACGCCAGGTCCTCCAAGGCCCGCGTCTGTCACGCCTGGTTCTCCAAGGCCCGTGTCACGCCAGGTCCTCAAGGCCCGTGTCACGCCTGGTTCTCCAAGGCCCGCGTCTCGCCCGGACCGCCTGGTTCTCCAAGCCCGCCTCGTGACGCCAGGTTCTCCAAGGCCCGTGTCACGCCAGGTCCTCCCGCGTCTCCCGGGTCACGCCTGGTTCTCCAAGGCCCGTGTCACGCCAGGTCCTCCAAGGCCCGTCTCCAAGGCCAGCGTCTCAAGGCCCGGTCACGCCTGGTTCTCCAAGGCCCGTGTCACTCGTCCTCCGGGCCCTGGTTCGCCAAGCCCCCCGCGTCTCAAGGCCCGTGTCACGCCTGGTCCTCCAAGGCCCGCGTCTCGCCGGACGTCCTGGTTCTCCAAGGCCCGCGTCTCGCCCGGACGCCTGGTTCTCCAAGGCCCGCGTCTCGCCCGGACGCCTGGTTCTCCAAGGCCCGCGTCTCGCCCGACGCCTGGTTCTCCAAGGCCCGTGTCTCGCCCGGACGCCTGGTTCTCCAAGGCCCGCGTCTCGCCCGGACGCCTGGTTCTCCAAGGCCCGCGTCACGCCCGGACGCCTGGTCCTCCAAGGCCCCGCGTCTCGCCCGGACGCCTGGTTCTCCAAGGCCCGCGTCTCGCCCCGGACGCCTGGTTCTCCAAGGCCCGCGTCTCGCCCGGACGCCTGGTTCTCCCAAGGCCCGTGTCTCGCCCGGACGCCTGGTTCTCCAAGGCCCGTGTCTCGCCCGGACGCCTGGTTCTCCAAGGCCGCGCGTGTCTCGCCCGGACGCCTGGTTCTCCAAGGCCCGTGTCACGCCAGGACGCCTGGTTCTCCAAGGCCCGTGTCTCGCCAGGACGCCTGGTTCTCCAAGGCCCGTGTCTCGCCCGGACGCCTGGTCCTCCAAGGCCCGTGTCTCGCCCGGACGCCTGGTCCTCCAAGGCCCGTGTCTCGCCCGGACGCCTGGTCCTCCAAGGCCCGCGTCACGCCCGGACGCCTGGTCCTCCAAGGCCCGTGTCTCGCCCGGACGCCTGGTTCTCCAAGGCCCGTGTCACGCCAGGACGCCTGGTCCTCCAAGGTCCGTGTCATACTAGCAATCCTGGTCCTCCAAGGTCCGTGTCATACTAGCAATCCTGGTTCTCCAAGACCCCCGTTGTCACGCCCGGACGCCTGGTTCTCCAAGGCCCGTGTCATACTAGCAATCCTGGTCCTCCAAGGTCCGTGTCATACTAGCAATCCTGTATGAGAAGATTGCTAGGAAGACAAAGAAATAACTCCCCGGCTTATAAGGTGTCAGTGCCGCAGCTGGTGAGGGAGATTCTTCAGCGTTTCATCCAGCAGGGAAGTGACACCATACAAGTGAGTGTTCTAGTCTACCACCCGGGAAAGGACTGCTAGCCTGACATGATGCTAAGAGCAGGCAGGGGGTCTACAGGTACCTTTGTAGGAGGCCATGAACATGGGGCAGGCATGGATTCTATGTCAATGATCAGGAAAGCCCCCTCCCCCACACAGTCACCAGTCTGAGGTACACGCACTGCAAAACAAATTATAAACGCATTTCATCCACGTACAAAATCCTCCTCCTCGAACTGTGGCTTCTTCTTGTCCGCGTTTCTTTTCCTCTCGGGTCTCGGCCGACTGCTTGTCCTGCACGGAAGCATTCTTACGAGAGAGGTTGTTGCCGTTGCGGTGACGATGGTTTGGAACCGCCTGTCCCGCCGCACCCGTTTGCCCCCCTCTGCGAAGCGCTGTCAGATCTTTCCCGCGATCCTCCATGCCACCCTGGCTGGGAGGATTGGTTGGCTCCTTTAGACACCCCAGAGTCCACAGAATCATGGCGGAGAAGAGATGGCTGGTGCCACGAATCTCCTGGGGAGAAAAACAAATCAGTGGCCTGGCCTCATACCATTCATTGGAAATATGTAACCAGCTTCACAGCTGACCGCCATCCAACCGCTAAATACACCAACCAATCGTCTACCGGAGGTGAGGCTTCAGGTTCTGCACAGGATAACAGCACCATTTCCTGAAAGCAGAGACCCTGCAGAACAAAACGGTGTTTGTAGCCGTTATATCACCCGATTCCAGCGCAAGGCTATCAAACGTATGAAACGAGAGAGCGCCGGAACGGAATACTGCTGCCGGGACCGGAATACTGCTGCCGGGACCGGAATACTGCTGCCGGGACCGGAATACTGCTGCCGGGACCGGAATACTGCTGCCGGGGACCGGAATACTGCTGCCGGGACCGGAATACTGCTGCCGGGACCGGAATACTGCTGCCGGGACCGGAATACTGCTGCCGGGACCGGAATACTGCTGCGGGGACCGGAATACTGCTGCCTGCCGGGACCGGAATACTGCTGCCGGGACCGGAATACTGCTGCCGGGACCGGAACTTCAAAATGCACTGAAAGAGACATAATTAGTGACAGGCCCTCTTTATGGAGAGATATGGGGGGGGGGGGGGGGGGGGGGGACAATGAGACGCATAAGACATAATAATTAGTGACGGGTCCTCTTTATGGAGAGATATGGGGGGGGGGGGGGGGGGGACAATGAGACATAATTAGTGACAGGTCCTCTTTATGGAGAGATATGGGGGGGGGGACAATGAGACAAAATTAGTGATGGGTCCTCTTTATGGAGAGATATGGGGGGGGGGGGGACGACGACAATGAGACATAATTAGTGACAGGTCCTCTTTATGGAGAGATATGGAGAGAGTATGGGGGGGGGCAAATGAGACATAATTAGGGGGGGGGGGGGGGGGGGGACAATGAGACATAATTAGTGACAGGTCCTCTTTTATGGAGAGATATGGGGGGGGGGGGGGACAATGAGACAATATAATTAGTGACGGGTCTCTTTATGGAGAGATATGGGGGGGGGGGCATAATGGAGAACATTAATTAGTGACAGGTCCTCTTTATGGAGAGATATGGGGGGGGGGGGGGGGATAATGAGACATAATTAGTGACGGGTCCTCTTTATGGAGATATGGGGGGGGGGGGACAATGAGACATAATTAGTGACAGGTCCTCTTTATGGAGAGATATGGGTGGGGGGGGGGACAATGAGGACATAATTTAGTGACGGGTCCTCTTTATGGAGCGATATGGGGGGGGGGGGGGATAATGAGACATAATTAACCCCCAACATTTCCCCAATCCAAAAATCCACCCAAAAAAAAAAAAAAAAAAACCAAAAAAACACACACCACCCCAGTTGTGTCTTCGGCGACTCACCCCAGACGGCCCCCTCACCCCGGGGAAGATGCTCGCCATGTTTCTCAACATTAATACGCCTGCAGAGGACTACAGCAAAGGAGACAGTGAGACCCTCAACACCCTCATGTTGTATACATAACATCAGTGAGACTGGGACCGTGGAAGGGTGGGGTGGACCGGGTCCGATCGGGGCCCCCTGCCTGTTTCTCACACGTTCCGATCGGCTCCACCCGCCTGTTAATCTCAGACGTTCCGATCGGCTCCGCGATCCCGCCCGTTTCTCACACGTTCCGATCGGCTCCGCAACCCCCGCCCGTTTTCTCAGACGTTCCGATCGGCTCCGCCCGCCCGTTTCTCAGACGTTCCGATCGGCTCCGCCCGCCCGTTTCTCAGACGTTTCCGATCGGCTCCGCCCCGCCCGTTTCCAACACGTTCCGATCGGCTCCACATCCCCCGCCCGTTTCTCACACGTTTCCGATCGGCTCCGAACCCGCCCGTTTCTCACACACCACGTTCCGAATCGGCTCCGCCCGCCCGCTTTCTCAGACGTTCCGATCGGCTCCGCCCGCCCGTTTCTCAGACCGATTTCCGATCGGCTTCCGCCCGCCCGTTTCTCAGACGTTGATCCGATCGGCATCCGCCCCGCCCCGTTTCTCAGACGTTCCGATCGGCTCCGCCCAGCCCGTTTAACCTCAAGACGTTCCGATCGGCTTCCGCCCGCCCGTTTCTCAAGTACGTTCCGATCGGCTCCGCCCGCCCGTTTCTCAGACGTTCCGATCGGCTCCGCCCGCACCGTTTTCTCAGACGTTCCATCGGCTCCGCCCGCCTGTTTCTCAGAACGTTCCGATCGGCTCCGCCCGCCCGTTTCTCAGACGTTCCGATCGGCTCCGCCCGCCTGTTTCTCAGAGACGTTCCGATCGGCTCCGCCCGCCCGTTTCTCAGACGTTCCGATCGGCTCTCCGCCCGACTTTTTCTCAGACGTTTCCGATCGGCTCCGCCCGCCTGTTTCTCAGACGTTCCGATCGGCTCCGCCCGCCTGTTTCTCAGACGTTCCGATCGGCTCCGCCCGCCTGTTTTCTCAGACGTTCCGATCGGCTTCCGCCCGCCTGTTTCTCAGACGTTCCGATCGGCTCCGCCCGCAGCCTGTTTCTCAGGACGTTCCGATCGGCTCCGCCCGCCTTTTCTCAGACGTTCCGATCGGCTCCGCCCGCCTGTTTCTCAGACGTTCCGATCGGCTCCACCCGCCTGTTTCTCAGACGTTCCGATCGGCTCCGCCCGCCTGTTTCTCAGACGTTCCGATCGGCTCCGCCCGCCTGTTTCTCAGACGTTCCGATCGGCTCCGCCCCGCCTGTTTCTCAGACGTTCCGATCGGCTCCGCCCGCCTGTTTCTCACGTTCTTCGATCGGCTCCCGATGTTTCTCAGACGTTCCGATCGGCTCCGCCCGTTTTCTCACACGCTCCGATCGGCTCCGCCTGTTTCTCACACACGATCGGCTCCGCCCTCCTGTTTCTCACATGTTCCGATCGGCTCCGCCTCCTGTTTCTCACACGTTCCGATCGGCTCCGCCCTGCCTGTTTCTCCACACATCCGATCGCTCCGCCCGCCTGTTTCTCACATGTTCCGATCGGCTCCGCCCTCCTGTTTCTCACACGTTCCGATCGGCTCCACCCGCCTGTTTCTCACACGTTCCGATCTGGCTCCACCCGCCTGTTTCTCAGACGTTCCAATTGGCTCCGCCTGCCTGTTTCTCAGACGTTCCAATTGGCTCCGCCTGCCTGTTTCTCACACGCTCCGATCGCTCCGCCCGCCTGTTTCTCAGACGTTCCGATTGGCTCCGCTTGCCTGTTTCTCAGGCGGACCCGATTGGAACCTCCATTCTCCTCTATGGATCGGGGGACACCGTGTCCATTTACACCGCTGACATCCGATCCAATCCGCCATAAAGGGACAGACGGGGATCCAATTCTCCTTCCATCCAGCGGTGAGAACGGACAGGCAGTATGATGTCATCCGACCGCCCACTGAGGAGAGCGAGCAGCTGTGTCTGTTCTGCAGCAACCGAGCGGACACTCAGCTCTCATCTGCTTGCTCAGCAGGGATCAGCAGAGAGATCCACTAAATGGGTCGGCTCCGTGTGAGAGGAGCCTTCAACCGAGTCCATCATCATGTGATCCGTGCATTCTAGAGCAGTACATGACAGGAAATCTTTGTATTGTTTGCCTGCAGTTTACTCCGGCTCCTGTCACACGGGCGCTGCGCTTTGTTTGCCTTCAGATCCGTTGTTTTCAAAGAAAAAACAAATGAGTCTACATCCGTTTTTTTCATTTGTTTACATCCGTTTTTCATTTGTTTACATCGTTTTTCATTTGTTTACATCCGTTTTTCATTTGTTTACATCCGTTTTTCATTTGTTTACATCCGTTTTTTCATCTTTTCTTTGAAAAAAACGCGACTGAAGAAAAAAAAACAAAACAAAAAACGGAACGCCCCGTGTGAAAGGACCCCGAGTAAACAAATGAAAAAAAAAGATGTAAACGAATGAAAAACAGATCTAAACGGATGAAACCGGATGTAAACAGATGAAAAAACAGATGAGTTTACATCTTATATTTCATTCGTTTACATCTGTCGGGTTTTTTTTTTTTTAAAAAACGTGACTGGACTGAAGAAAAAAACAAAAAACAAAAACAGAAACACCCGTGTGAAAAAGGACCCTTAGTAAACGAATGAAAAAGATGAAACGGATGTAAACGAATGAAACCAGATGTAAACAGATGAAAAACGGATGTAAACGAATGAAATATAAGATGTAAACTCATCTGTTTTCATTAGTTTAGTTTCATCCGCTTAGATCTGTTTTTCATTTGTTTACATCCGTTTTTCCATCTGTTTTTTCTTTGAAAAAAAAAAAAAACGTGACTGGACTGAAGGGAAAAAAAAAAACCAACAACAACAGAACACCCGTGTGAAAGGGCCCTTAGTAAATGAATGAAAAAGATGAACGGATGTAAATGAATGAAAAAACGGATCTAAACGGATGAAATCGGATGTAAACAGATGAAAAAAAAACAGAGTTTACATCCGTTCTTTTCATCCGTTTTTTTTTTCATTTGTTTACATTCGTTTTTTTCATCCGTTTTTGTCCGTTTACGGTCCTTTTACATCCATTTTTCGTCCTTTCCGGGATTTTTTTGCAGAAGAAAAATAAGGTTTTCATCTGTTTACATCCGCAAGTCCATAGCAATACAAGGGGTCCGTGTAAACGGACAGATGAATAAACGGACATACGGCACGCCCGGGTGAAAGGGGCCTTACACTTACAAACACAAAGAAGCTGAAAAGCCCGGTGTGGTTACCTTGGAGGACTGAGGTGTGGAGAAGCTAAGCCAAGCAGGTACAAAGTCATGCTGCGCCATTTAGGTTGAGGGTCTAGCAGTGAATGACGGAGGCATTTAATCCTCATGGCCAAGGCAGGGCTGCTGAAAGACAAATACAAAGTGCGGTCAGTTCACAACCTTCAGGACTAGGACAGTGGCCGCAGCCTTCCCGCTCTCTGGAAATCCGAATGCAGCCCCAGTAGGGCGCTCCCCAGCGTGGCATCACCTAGTTCCATCACTGCGGTGAACACGGAACCGACGG